TGTGCTGATCAAATAACAGATTAAAACTGAGTCTCCATGAGGTGGCCAGTGCATGAAGGTTTCTTTTTTGCTGAAGAATTCTCACAGGAAGAATTAAATGCTACCTCTTACAAATCAGTCCTACTGATCTAGTGTGTGTTTGGACACACTAGAGACTTTGAGCCACATCCTCACCAATAGTACTTTACCTTTTGGGTATGAATTGTGGGTAATGGTGCCCGTGCATAGCCTGTGGTCTGTAGAGAAGCCATATTGATTAATAGTTTTCATGCAAATTATTCAGCACGTTGAGGAATTTTTTTTTTAATCCCCAAACCTCTAAAAACTCATTCTTTATTTTTCAAATTTGGTCTTTTTAATTTCCTTCACAGCTAAGAAGGTATGAGAGCCCCTTTGTTCTGGAGCTGCTGATTTTGGTATTCAAGGTGTTTGTTTGTTCCAAGGACTGCACTTATGATTTTAAAGTGCCATAAATTCTTCAAACTAAGCTCCTACGGTCTTTATACCACCTTACCAGCTTAGATTATGTGATCCTAAGAATGAAAAAAAAGTTTTTATGAGATTAGGTAGCTATTCATATTATAAATATGAATTTATTAAATTTAACTGGCAAAAAGATCTATTATGAGTAAAGAAGGTGAAAATATAAGCTTAAAATATTCAGGACTGAGAAGAGAGCATTGAATTTCTGATTCTCTCTGTAGGTGGGGTGTGAAATAGAATGCTAGTGTTGCTGAGCCAGAATGCTTGCCTATTTTTACACTTCCGTAAGAGATGTGGGCAATGGAAAGGGATACTTATGGAAGTACAACAGGGTTTATTTAAAAGTTCATCAGGCTTAAGGAGCGTAGTATTTGCCTTATGGAAGAGAGTGGGTCTCTTGATGCCCAAAATGTATATGAGAAAGACAGTGAAATGAAAAGGAGATGAGAATCCAGACACTCCATCAGCAGCCTTACCCTGTGACAGACCCAGAGGCAACTCCAAAGCCACCAGGGCAACTGCCTGTTCAGTTTGCCAAAGAGCCAGATGCTGTTGCTTGGAAGAATCTCTTCCACAGCTTGATGTCTGGGTCCTGTGATTGCCATCCAAAGAACAGTGGTGGGGCATGCTGGGATGAATGCAATCCCGGCATCCCACTACAGTGTTTTCTTTTTTAAAAAAGAGTCATTTTAAATTAAACAAGTTTTAAAACTCACATATTATTTTTGAAAATGTAAAAAGGAAATTGGAGGATAATAGTGCAAGGCAAGGCTGTCTATTTGAAAAAATAATCCGCTTAAAACTTAACTTTGCTTATGGGTCATTTTAATTTATCCCATGAGGAATGGGACATTTAGAAGAGACAAAAGACCATCCACCATTCACAGTGATGAAATAAAAATTACTACAATCTAGAAGAATGGTGGTACAAATAATACTTATTGTTTATGTTACTCACTATGATCATTTACAATATTTATTTAAATAAAATAAAAGTAAGATATTCAATATTGCATTTTGTAATAGAATTTTGATTGTGGGTGCCACTGAACATGTGCTTAAATAAAAAAGGCAGTAAGAAAAATCATTAGTGACATTTAAGGGGAAAAATCATGCCTGCCTGAGTGTCTGATGAGTCACTAACATCTCTTCTTAAATATTATCAGTATTGTCACGTGAAGCAGCATCTCTCCTTTTCAAAATATGTGTTAATATTTGCTGTGTTGTAGCTAAGTGAATAATAGCTGCTGTATGTCTTTGAGTCACTCAGACTACTTCAACAAATGAATGTCATTTGATCCTAGTGTACAGCCAACACCTTTGCTTTTCCGTGTAATCTTTTATTTTTTGTAATTATGGGAATTTTTTCCCCTTATATTCCCAGACTTTGTCTAATAGCCTAATGGTAAGTGCCTGAGCACCATAGTAAATCTATAATTTCTTTAATCATTGTGATCAATGTGAATCATGGCATGATTAATGTGGCGGGGGTAATAGGTAATGGTTAAAAAGATAATCAAAATATTTGGATAGTAATAATTCACTATACAGCAGTGTTTCTCAACCAGGGACAATTTTGTCCCCCCAGGGGACATTTGGTAATGTCTGGAGATGTTTTTAGTCATCACAACTCTCATCTACTGGGTAGAGATCAGGAATGCTGCTAAACATCCCGCACTACAGAGGACAGCACCCTACAACAGAGAATTGTCTGGCCCAAAGTGTTAATAGTTCCAAGGTTGAAAAATCCTGGTGTAGAGAATGGATAACATGTATAATGATATTGACATTTTAAAAAGTTTGGTGACTACCAAAATATAGATAGCTCTGTAGTGTTGTTAATCTAGATGAAAAGAAAAAAAAAATCAGTAACAGATATTTTCAAATATCTTCACATTTGGGATCATATTGACAAAGTATAAAGGCATAATATTGTCACTTTCTGTAAGATATGTTTCTCATCCTCACTTCAATTATTTTTTAAGCACATAGTTAGCTACAACTGGATGACATCAACAGCAGCTTGGGGATATCATGTTCCTATTTCATAAACAGAATACTAATTCAACAGGAAAAATATATAAAAGAATTTTCAGTTTTTAAATTTTCTTCGATTCCAAAATTTCCTTCCAAATAATTTGAAAAATACATAAACTTATAAAGAGGAAAATGAAAGACATCTTTAATCTGGCCATCTTAAGCTTTTAGTTTCTTTAAACTCAAACTTGTATCTATGGACACTGATTTCTTAATATAGGACAAAATACTGTTCACCAAAATATTTTGTTATGGTTAAGTTTTCATGATATTAACTCCTTTGTCTAGCACATGTAAAGTGAAATTTATCGTTGTTTTCCTAATTGTTCTGTCCATACTAGTTTGCCTCCCTTTGAGTGTGGATTTATTGGATTTTTTTTTCTTTTCTTTCTTTCTTCCTTTACTTCTTTTCTTTCTTTCTTTTGTAATGTATTCAGTTATATTAAGTGGAAGACATCTCCCCATAGAGAAACTGGCTTGGACCTCACCTGCCTTATCTGTTTATATCTTGTAGGACTAGTATTCTCCAACACTATGTATGACTTGTCTCCTAGTCATTTCTTCTTAAGTCAGATGTTTAGAACTAATATTCCCCAACACTATGTATGACTTGTGTACTAGTAATTTTTTCTTAACTCAAGTGTTTATGCTGCCGAGCTAAAGTTATTTAACAGGTAATAGTTTTGCCTCAGTTAAATCTATGGGTGAAGATATTGCCACTGGGCAAGACTAAGGTGGTAATTACAGTTACCAATGGGTTTGGGCAGGGAGACAGGCACAGAGCCCTTGTTAGGGAATGAAACCCAGAGAGAAGGGAGAGGAGAACTGCCAGAAGATAGAGCAGCCTAATATGGACAAATTACAGAAGGAAAGAGGACAAGAGGACGATAATGCCATAATGCACAGCCTTTAAATAACACATTGAACAACAATGAGTTTGCATTTAGCATTTGGGCAGTGCTATCATCTGAATGTTTGTGTCCCTCCAAAATTCATGTTAAAATCGTAACCCCTAAGGTGATGCCATTACGAGATGGGGACTTTGGGAAGTGATTTGGGAAGTGATTCATGAGGGAGCCCTCATGAATGGGATTAGTGTCCTTATAAAAGAGACCCCAGAGAGACCCTTACCCCTTCCATCTTGCTGTGAGGACACAGCAAGAAAGTGCCCTCTATAAACCAGAAAGCAGGCCATCACCAGACACCAAATCTGCCTCGATTTTGCACTTCCCAGTCTTCAGAATGATGAGCAATAAATTTCTGTTGTTTTAAAGCTACCCAATTTATGGTATTTTGTTATAGCAGCCCAAGTAGTCTAAGAAGGGCAGTTACATGACAAGACTTTTGCTTTATTTGAGGCATTAATCTTTGGTTTCCTCCCCGGACCCATATTATTAGGTTGATGCAAAAGTAGTTGCAGTTTTTGTCATTACTTTTAATGGCAAAAATTGCAATTTCTTTTGCACCAATACCTCTTGTCAGGGAAGTGGAGAAAAATTGGAAATGGGCCCACAATTTTCAGGGTTTATTTTTTCCAGGATTTTTTTTTTCTTTTTTTTTTAATAAGACACCATGTTGTCCAGGTTGGAATGCAGTGGCTATTCACAGATGTGATCCCACTACTGATCAGCACTGGAGTTTTGGCCTGCTCCATTTCTGCCCTGAGCCGGTTCACCCCTCCTTGGGCAACCTGTTGGTCTTTTGCTCCCAGGAGGTCACCATATTGATGCTGAACTTAGTGCAAACATGCGATTGGTGTAGCACAGAACTCCTGGGCTCAAGCCATCCTCCCACCTCAGCTTCCCAAGTAGCTGGGACTAGAGGTGCATGCCACCACACCTGGCTTTTTCAGGAATTTAAAACAGTGACTAACTCAAGCTACCACAAGTTCTGCACTGGGCAACTGACAATGCCAATTTCCTGGAAACCTCCCCGCTGCAATCCTCCCCCACCTGCAATATAAAACTAAAACTTCACTCAACAGTTTCTAGAGCAGAACTTCTTTTCCTCTTCACAAAATAGGTCTCACCCTTGGGTAATTAATAGGTGGCACATGCAAACAGTAACAGGGGAAGCTGTTTATTTGTTTCTTTGTTTGTTTGTTTTGAGATGGAGTCTCGCTCTGTCGCCCAGGCTGCAGTGCAGTGGCGTGATCTCGGCTCACTGCAAGCTTCGCCTCCCGGATTCAAGTGATTCTCCTGCCTCAGCCTCCCGAGTAGCTGCGACTACAGGCGCCCGCCACCACGCCCGGCTAATTTTTTTTTGTATTTTTAGTAGAGACGGGGTTTCGCGTGTTAGCCAGGATGGTCTCGATCTCCTGACCTCGTGATCCGCCCGTCTCGGCCTCCCAAAGTGTTGGAATTACAGGTGTGAGCCACCGTGCCCGGCCTTGTTTGTTTTTATGTACTCTGAGCAACAGAATTTAGAAGCCAGCTCTCTTGTGTCCACCAAGTTCAGGCACATGAAAGGGAATGTAGTACTTGCTTCGGCAGCATATACACTAAAATTGGAACAACACAGAGGACATTAGTATGGCCCCTGCATGAGAATGACATGCAAATTTGTGAACCGTTCTGCATTTTTTAAATTACAAAAACAAAAAATAAAAAAATAAAGAATGAGTACATACGCAGGAATTTTTTTAAAGATTGCAAAAGGTTCAGTGAAGAGAAATGAAATATACTGCAGAATGAATAATATGCCAGTCAGTAAAAAATATATGAGAGTTCACCTAAAGTATGGATCCTTTCCACAATAATGGGCGGACAAACCCTTTTGTCCTTAAGACTACAGAATCCCTTGTTCTGATTCTGTGTTTGGTCTTCCTCCTCATCAACTAGCTGATTATGGGTCTCTGCTGGGCCTCCTTTAGGTCCTGTTCATATCCAAAGTTGGCCTATGCCAACCTGGTCACTTCTGTGAATCAGGACTGACTTAGGAATTACAAAAAAATCTCGGTCTATGGGTGTTACTTGAAGTTTGAAATTTAATGTCAAGTGTCTTCATCAACTTTATGTCTACAGGTCTAGATATTTCTGTTCCTATTATGGTACAAATATCAGAGATGGCTCCTCATTTAATTGTGTAGTCATCTGTAAGTTGTTATGACTGCCAATTATAAAACTCGTTTAATTTTGTTCTGCTGCTGTAGAGAAAGGGGTCTACACATCCACCCTAGTGTTGATAGAAAGGGAATGGTAACTACTCTGGCTACTGCCTGGAGTTTTCTTTTTTATTTCAGTCACTTACTTGTACATCCTTGGCTGGAGGATACTCCTTTTTTATATTCTTACATGCACTTCCATCATTAACTAAAAAATTAACTAAAGAACCATGTGCTTCTTTACTGGGGTTTTGTGTTTTATGTGAGGCCCATTTGTATGTGGTTTGTATATACAACACATTCTTCTCCCAAGAATGCTAAAAACAAACAAAAGGAAGGAAGGAAGGAAGAAAGGAAGGACAAAGAGAGATAGAAAAAGAAAGAGAGAGGAAAGAAAGAGACAGGAAAGAAAGAAAGAGACAGGCAGAAAGAAAGAAAGAAAGAGGGAAAGAAAGAAAGAGGGAAAGAAAGAAAAAGAAAGAGAAACGTAGTATACATGGCCCAGGAAGCACTCTAGCACTCTACTCTTGGGACTTGGGCTGAGTACAGGGCCTACTTTGGTCACTGTTCTTTAAAACACAAAGGATGTGGACAACCCAAAGTGAACAGAAAGAGCTATTATGATAGAAATGTCTTACGGTCATCTCTATGAGCATAGCACATCAAGGGTAGGTTTGTTAAACTTGAAGAAGAACGGCTAAAGAGAGAATCCAATTAATGTCTTGAAAAGCATGGATATTTTCTAGAAGAGGAATTTTTATAGTAGTTCTCCATACCTTGAGAGATCCAAGATGATGAAAGAACTTAACATAGGAGCTGTTTCAGCAGAAACACAGACTCACATCCCCAGCTTAGCTATCCTAGTGCTGAAACATGAGAATATGTTCATTGGTGGCCATTGTGGAATCTCTTTGTTTGGAGATCTCTGAGAAGAGATTTGTAAGCTTTGGTTAAATACCTTTATTTACACCTGCCTGAAGAAAATCAAATGATTCTTTAAGTTTCCTTCCAGTTCTTATTCTATGAAGCAAACACAATTTTACAATTATTTTTATTAATTGGTGAGCAAAATATTTATTCCCAACTAGTAAACCCTAGGAAAGCCATCTCATCTTTTGAGGTTGTAAGAAGTTTATGTTGTGAAGATTTACTAGCCTTGAAATTCTCCCTTGAAAAAGCTCAGAGTCCCAGATTCCATCTGTGATAGATTGTTTTGTGATATTTGGGGGGATATACTTTAAAATATTTTTTCTTGTTAATTTATAGTCTTAACATTATTTATAATTTTAAAAATGTTTATTTTATGCCATAGGTTATATTGTATCCTTCAGAGCCCAGCACAAACATTTAAAAAAAAACTAAACTATTTATTACATCTTCAATATTAGTTTTGACTGGTTGTGGTGGTGCAATGTAGCCTGGGCAATGTGATGAAGACACCCATTGCAAAAAAAAAAAAAAAAAGAGCTAATTTTATTATTTGAATTATCATACAGTAAAATGGACTTCTTTTGGTATACTATTCTGTGAATATTTTAATGTACGTATAGATTCATGTAATCACCACTACAATCTGGATACACCAAACTCTTTTAACATAAGATACTCTCCATATTTTAATAGCTTTGTCACTGAAATCCATTCTCTAATGTAACTGGTCAATGAGCAAAATATGTAGTAGAGTATATAATACTTACTACAAAATGTAAAGTAGTGTTTACGTACAATAAAGTGCTTTACTGAAGATATTCTTAAAAGATACAAGTTGTTGTATCAGACCTATTGTGTTCAAATGAATTTTATGCAATTCTTTGTTATTGTAACAGCTGTCATCATTAACAGACAATAGCATATGCATATATACATATCAATATGAATATCAATTCTCCATAATTTTGAGGATTCAATAATGTCTCATAAGGTTTTTTAGTTTTTAAAATCTAATTTAAACTATGACATAGATTTACAATCAGATTATAACTTATAGAACTTTCTGATTTACAATCAGATTTACAATTGGATTGTAACTTACAGTACTTCCACTGAATTACTTGTTGTAGAATCTACCCTGATTATGCTTTGTTTTATTTTTTCTTTAAAAGTTGCTTAGAGGCCAGGCGCGGTGGCTCATGCCTGTAATCCTAGCACTTTGGGAGGCCGAGGAGGGCGGATCACAAAGTCAGGAGATCGAGACCATCCTGGCTAACACGGTGAAACCCCATCTCTACTAAAAGTATAAAATATTAGCCGGGCGTTGTGGCAGGCACCTGTATTCCCAGCTACTGGGGAGGCTGAGGCAGGAGAATGGCATAAACCCCGGAGGCGGAGCTTGCAGTGAGCAGAGATCAGGCCACTGCACTCCAGCCCAGGTGACAGAGCGAGACTCATCTCGAAAAAAAAAAAAAAAAGTTGCTTAGAACAGATTGCAGAAAATATGACTTCTATCATAAGCCATCAAAACAAAACAAACTCTTTGCCACAACAGATTTATGTATCCTAAAAATACTACACTCAAGATTAAAGAATAGGTTTGGAGATTTTTTTTTTTTTTGAGATGGCGTCTCACTCTGTCGCCCAGGCTGGAGTGCAGTGGTAGAATCTTGGCTCACTGCAACATCCACCTCCCGGGTTCAAGTGATTCTCCTGTCTCAGCCTCCCAAGTAGGTGGGATTATAGGTGCCCACCACCACACCCGACTGATTTTTGTCTTTTTAGTAGAGACAGGGTTTCACCATGTTGTCCAGGCTGGTTCCAAACTCCTGACCTCGGGTGGTCCACCCTCCTTGGCTTCCCAAAGTGCTGGAATTACAGGCGTGCGCCACTGTACCCGGCCCAATATTTGGAGATTCTACCCACCTTTTATGACTGAATTGGATACAATAAAAAGCTTGGGTCATTCTGACTTGTCTAAACTTCCTAAGAGGAATTAATACTATAGATAGAGTCTTTGTGATAGACCATGATGAGTCAGATCTTTTAGCAGTGTCAAATTTGCCTACCTGTTATATAGCATGTTAATAATTTATTGTAAGCCAAGTTTGTATATACACAGGTAAATAATATAGGTAAGATAGCATTGATTTTTGGTTATGTTGTCTCTATAGATAGAAGAAAAGGTATGTTTGTAATTTTTAAGTAGCTAAGTTGAAAAAGTCAAGAATTTGTGCTCCAATAATTACAGTCAACACACTGAATCGTATTCTGTTAAACGGCCCTTTCTTTCCATCTCTTCTTCAGAAAGGGGGTTTATTTTAAGACTGTAAACATACTATGATTAAAAGTACCTGGAAATTTAGTACCTAGTGTCAGAGAAGATACCACAATAGTCCAATGTAATGAGGTTGGATCGTGTGTATTTTTCCAATTTTAGTCATTTGCTTTCAAAGCTATTATTTCACCCTTACTGATAACCTCTCTTCAGTTTTAAAAAAAATTACCATTAACATTCACTCACTTTTTGCAGGTTTTGAACAGTTTTTTAATCCAACAAGCTATTTTACCTTACACAATAGATGCAGTCTTAGCCAATAATCTTCATTGTTAATAACATTCAATGGCTTTTTAACAATTATATGACATCCATTGTGTTCCATTTTCTTTCTATGGCAGTAATGCCCTCTAAAGCATTCCAACTAGTAAGGTACACAAGGATCGCTTTCATAAAGCTATGCTAGCTGTCTCTAATTCAATTACTTACCTCAAAGACTTCCTTCAATGCTGCAAAATTGTCCGGATACTTCCCCATTTCTGATGTTCACCTGAGCTGTTTGTGGTTGCTTGTACTGTAAATTTTTTTTTTTTCTTTTTTCCTTTTTTTTTTTTTTTTTTTTTACCATTTCACTTGTCATGAAGAAATAAATGGTTTCAGATTTTTTTCTAATCCTAAAGGATGATCATAGAAGTTATAGTAGTAATAGTAGTTATATAGTGTAGTAGTGTAAGTGTAAAGAAGAGCATCTTGGAGGAAAAAGAATCAGTATCTCTACTCGTGAAGAAAGCCAAAATGTTAAAGTTCAAACTGTACCACCCACGCCACGGCTCATTGCTGCTCACCACTCTTCATCTCCTTATTTCTAAGAGGAAAGCTTATTTTGGATATTTGATTATTTACTTATTATCTCTAGAGGGTGGGCAGTGGGTGGTGCTGCTCAAACGAGCATGGTTCAAGGAGCAGACCTCTAAATACACTCAAAATGCAATAAAGATCAGAAACTACAGTGTCTCCCTTAATTCACAGTGGTTGTGTTCCATGATCTCCAGTGGATGTCTGAAACTTTGGATAATACTGAACTCTATATATACTACGGATAATACTGAACTTTGGATAATGCTGAACTCTATATATACTATGTTTTCTCCTATACATACATACCTATGACAAAATTTAATTTATAAATTAGTCACGGTAAGACATTAACTATAACAGCTAATATTATAGAGCAGTTATTAACAATATACTGTAATTGGCCAGGCACGGTGG